CATTTTCTGGTAAGCAGCTTGGCAAGGTAACATCATAATCTTGCAGTGTCAGTCCTCCCCTTGAGCTTACAAAGTCTATTAAAACAAATTACATGAAAACACCTTTTTCAGGATTTCAATTCAGTAGCTTAAGAGGATCAGGATATTCCAGTTCCTTCTTAGATGTAAGGAACATAAGACAGAGTACTTCAGCGTCTAATGCTGCATTGACACCTTAATACATTGTCCATTAACTCTGTATTCTTCACAGACCACATAATAATAGGTTACTAGGAAGAAACTATATGTTTTGTTGTTACCTCTATTAGCTAGTTTACAATGAATTCAACAGTTCAGCATCTGCTTGAAACTGACATTACATTTGATCTGATGCAGATGGATGCACACAACAAACATGAGAGAAAAAGGTTAAAATATGGTATCATATAAAGTATTTTCATACAATGCTTCTGAAATTAGCTAACCTAATGATATTTTAATAAAATTCTATCCCAATAACTAAAATTAATATATTACTTTTCACTTACTCTTCTACTGAATGACAGCCTGAAACTAAGATGATGAACATAGAGAAATTACAATATCAGAATACAAAAATTCTATTCCTAGCTATTAAAAGAATTAAATACCAAATTAAATATGGGAAAATCTAGTTACTCAGTGACTCCAAAACCTCAAATATTATCTGACAGATGCTGATTTCATTGGATTGTCAACCTAACAACTCACTACTTGGCTGCTAGATTAAAATGCTGCAAGATTAAAAAATTAAAAATCTGTATATTTAATATATGATTCACAGATAATATGTTTGCCTGAAATCAGTCTATTTCTTTTCTAAAAAGGCATAAAACAAGATTTACATTACATATGAATATACTTCCTTGTTTACCTGTACACTGTCACAGCAGAGCTGTTTTACTGCTGCTGCTATTTCTCCTTACATCTACATTGTAATGTATTTATCTGGTAAAAGGGGTTGTGTAGTGCTTGTGCCACTGGTCAAAACAGAACATGGGAAGGTTGCTAGGATTATCTATGATGAAAAAAATTAATAACCCACACCTAGGATGAGGAATTCAATGTATTAATAAAACCCCAAGGCCATAAGACAGTGCAAGGAGATGGCATACACCATTCCAAGAATGTTAAATAACCCTAACACAGAAGTGAGTGGATAAATGTTCCACAGTAAGCTTGCAAAAAACAAACCCCTAAAGGCAATCATCATATAGGTACAAATAATTTTACAAATTAATGCACTGGAGAGACATGTAATATGTCAGTTTTATCTTTATTCCCCACAGTCTCAATAATCCTACCAGAATCTATCATTAAGAATTGGAATAAACAACATTTTCCTGATGGATAACCCATAAAACAAATATTCCATTCTTTCCTGTCAAATCCCTACTGTAAACAAAGTCCTTAAGCAACTTAGACACAAAAAAAATCCCACAATAATGTGACATTTAAGAGGCCTGCAAACAAACCCAAAATTTCTTCCTCCTGTTCTCAGGAGTGATCAAAGCATAGCACTAGATTTAAGAAATAGCTAACACTTCTTTCTTGTTCTCATCCACGAAGACTGAGATATTCTACCCTCAGTATTCTATGACAGCTATAAATTACCTGCAAAGCCTATCTAGTCTGTTTAATTATCTTGCATATGATTTTTTATTTCTATTGGATAAGTAGGTAGGAGGCAGTATTATTAAGTTTCATGGATGTTTTGCCCCCTTTAAGAGCAAAATGTCAATAAAATAATATAATTTCCAATCCCTACGATTTTGCTTCAGATGCTAATTGTAGTTAAATACTTTCTGAAGTCTTGTAATCAATGTCAGCAAAAAAGGCTGGAAAGTTATGTTATGTTGATTAAAGCTTGAGAAGCTACAGCGCACATCCAAAAAAAATCCGTTAAATTGATTTTTCAGTTGACTGAAGCCAGTAACATAGGTTTTTATAAATCCAACTCACAAGCTGTATTTTGGACTTGCATGTTTACCAATTTTCATTTCAGATTAAGAAATCCATCTCACAGAAAGCAATATGAACCATAAAATGAAGCAAGACACTGCTAGATTCTAAACAGACTAGAGTAATGCAGAGCTGCAAGGATCTGATTACAGACTATCTTCTGCCAGGCAGTCAGTCTCCCACTGGGATGGGGAACACATATGCTGGGATGTTCTACAATAAAACAGTGTTTCTTATGTAGAGCCTTACAGATGTTGCAGGATAATTCTCTCTCAATGCTTCAACATTTTATCAAAATTTTTAAGCAGAGCATAGTAAGGTATTTATTGTTTAATAACATTCCCTCATGCAATGTGCTCTGTGATTCTTGGATCTGTTGCTTTCCTTGCAAGAGCCAAAAGCCAAACTACAAAGCAATTGCTCTGGGTTGATAGGGAATGTCCTTTATTGCTGCTTCTCAGAACAGTACCCAGATCAGCAAGAGCTTCAGCAGACTAAAAGCAAACCCAAGCTTATCTCCTGGAAGACCACATGCAGATGCAGAAAATATAATTTCAACATTTATTGTTTCTCTTGCTCTGAAGCAGAGCTACAAATAACTGACACCTCACCCATTTTCAAGGGAAGCTTCTATAATTACATTGCTATGCCCTATGGAAACACTACTGGGTTTCTCATAGCAACCTTCAATGACTCAGAGAGCCCTGCTCTTACCACAAAATTACTAAGAGCGCTTCATCCATCTTCAACAGAAGAGCTGGTACATGACTGGCAGAGTCACCACTACCACTGGAAATCCAACAGCTTTATGACACCTTCTCTCTCGAGAAATAAAGTTTAATGACCAAAGCGGTAGTACATTCCACATACAGTAAGGCAGGATTGCTCCTATAAAATCTCTCACACCCTATGATGCCTTGAATGCACACACTACAGAGTCTTTTTAGCAACTCTGTCAGATAGATAAGTACAATTCCTTCCCGAAGGCCTACAAGACAGCAAACTGTTCAAAGAAGCCTATGCTGTAAAAAGACTTCTTAATCTCTGACACCTCAGCGACCCACTCCAGTTTCCCTTCCTAGATCCACTTGGCTCTCATCCCTGTTTTCACTGCCAGGTGCCCATCCGACATCTCCTTGAGTAGCCTCCATTTCTTGCAACACCACAAGATAAATATTGTAAAAAGTGAGAAATATTCTGTGGCTTAGAGATTTAGATTAAATCACTGATAGGTCAGGTGAGTGTTGGAACTCAGCTGAGGAGCAGGCACAAGACTGAGGTGCACAAAGACATTTCAGAAACAGAAAGATGTTAGCTCAGCTCAGCTGCACCATGTAACTTCACCCCTGGGACAGAGCTGAAGCAACTTTCTTAATACTGAAGGGGAAAATGGCATTCTTCATAAACAAGAAGGCAGAATTTAACATTACTGGCTTCCAGTCTGTGGTATGACCTCTGAGTGTAGCTCATCTGATGTTTTCCAGTCTATTTCTATCTTGCTTCAAAATATTTCTGTCCATTTCTAGTCTGCATTCAAAACAATGGATGGTTAAATGGCCCTTCCCTCTGGAATAATGTTCTCCAAACTGCCATATATACCCCACTGACACACCATATATACATACATAAAACTGCATGTACACAAGGTACCCTGAAGTGTTTTAAGACCCAGGTTAGAACAAGGCTGACAACAGTCTAAAATCTAATGTCTCTCTAATCTCTAACACTGCTGGGGTAACAGAAAAAAAATCCCCCCAAAAAAACATTAGTTTAAACAATTCCATTTTTGGAACTCACAATGGTATCAAGTTACTTTCAAATGAAACTAGAATTCCATTTACAGATATCCAAGGTTTAGAAGATTTAGAGAATGTTACTAATAAAACTACATACTAGATGTTTTGGATTCATATTAATCATGTTTTCCTTTGAAAATTAATTTGTTTTGAAGTAAAAGAAAGAATTACCTGAGGTGACCTGAGGTGACTTTTTAGATGCTGAATCACTACATTAGTAGAAATAGCTGATCTCAACATCAAATTTTTTTTTACATTTTCTAAGAAGAAAACAATCCTTTTCAGTTTCTCCTTGAAGAAAAACCTGACATAAACTATACTGAAATAAACACAAGTTTTCCTCCATGCCCGAAGAAAAGCTGTTGTAAGATGATCTGCCCCTTCAGCAAACTGAAACCAGTTATTTACCCAGCAATTTCCCTGATTTTAGTGATCTATGGCACCTTTAAAACCTCAGCAAAAAAACATTTAAGCAATACATGCTCAATATATACATGCTTTATTTATTATTAAAGCTTTTTTAATTTGACAACTTTTATGAAAGGCTAAATTTACTACAATAGACTAAGACAAAGAAAGTCCTACTTAAAATAGTATCTTTTTATATCCAAAAAAAAAAAGCCACCCTGTAAATGTTCTCTAACACAGCATAGTAAAAAAATACTTGGAAATGTTATTGCCATAGGCTCCTCTCCCATTATAGACCCATGGCACTTTCATCACAACACAAAAAGGTCCAAAATCTCAGTTGAAAAGCTAATAATAAATATAAACCAAGCTAAAAAAGCCAAATTCTAAAGTGAATAGCACGAGGTACAGGCACACATCCTCTTCTAACCATTCAGCTGTAGACCTGTGATAGACTACCAGGTACAGCAGGAGAACACATCTTAAAAGGACAGACTTGAACATATTTTGTCTGCTTTACATACACAAAAAAAATCCCTTTGGATGTATTGGTTTTATTTACTTAAGGCTTCAGGAAAAAATAGTCTTGATAATTCCAATCTCAATATCCACAAGATTTCATATGGATGAATATGGCATGAGCAATGCATATATCCAGCTCATAAGAAACCTGCTACACAGAAATTTGTATTTCTACTTCCCCCCATTGAAGGCCACCTACATATGCATACGACAAGAGAAATTGCAATGGCTATTTGCCAAACTGTGCAGTGTCATATGGCAGTAGTGAGTCAATCTTTAGAAGCTGGCTCCAACCTCATCAGTGGCTGATGTGCTCCCCTCCAGCTGTGACATCAGGTCAGGACAAGCATTATCCCAGTCATGCAGCTGATGGCAGAGCTGGAGGGAATCCTTCTAAGAGAGAAGCAAAGACAAAAGAAGTAAGCTTCCTTCTGGGAAAATGGTATGAAATAAGGTCATACTGAAAACAGGCAGGTGGTTTGTAAGGTAAAAACAGCACTAGATTAACATACGGAAATCATGCAGTTTTATTTTGAAGTCATGATGCTAAAGGTCTTGGCCAAAAGGCTCAAATAGGACTTCAGGCATGGTATCAATTACCTGGACTGAGTCAACAGGCCAAGAGTCTGTACACACATATTAGAGCAACATCAGCCATCTAGTACAGGGGGTGTTTAATTAGCTAAGCAGGGATACAGGGTTTGAGGGGAAAGGAAGTACGAGCCTCTGTGTCCTTCAGACTAGTAATAATGTTTGTAAGACACTTTTACACTCAAAAAAACCCCAAAAAAACCCACCACTACCCAAAAACAACAACAACAAAAAAAACCCCAACCAAACCCAAACTATACAAAACCAAAGTTACTGATGCATTTTTTTATTAGCATGCTAATGAAATGCCACATCGACATAAGAAATTACATGTTCATAAAATCCACTATGCAAGACAATCCTGTCTCTGTAAATCAGATACTAAGTTCACACAGGGAGATAGGACTGTTTTATTTAAAATAATTTACCTCTCTTTTATGTATACCTCTTTTATTTAAAATCATTTCCCTCTCTTTTGCTTAATCAGCAATTAAGCAAAAGAAAGGAAAATGCTGAAATAAATTTAGAAAGGCAGTGATTATCTTCATATTATTCTTCTAAAGACTCAACTGAAAGAAATATATAATAGGTGTTTGCCTTAAAAAAACATACAGATTGCATGCTCCTAAGAGAAGTATGTTATCCTCATGCTGGATTCTTTCCAGACATATTTTTGGCTACTACTGTAACCACAAAATATGACTGGGGGAACAGGACAGAACACGCAAAAATACCTCTCTGACAACCAGTACATTTGTCTCAACCCAAAACTTGTGTAGCTTTGTTTCATTTTCATTTCTGCATGACAAAAACATGCAACCAAAAAAAAAAAAAAAAAAAAAAAAAAAAAAAAAAAAAAAAAAAAAAAAAAAAATAGAGCAGTAGAAAGCAGGAAGAAATCTTTCCAGTTGATCAAGGCCTAGGTTCAGCAAAATATGTCTTTATATTCTCAAGCCATGAACACACCATGACACCCTGCTGATTGTGTGTATCACCACAGAGTCAGCGCATTTGACCAAAGGATGTCACTACTATGCTATACACAACCAATTCCTATGATACAAAGGACCTAACAAGCATTGACAATCAACAATGCTTTTCTAGCTGAGAAAGCAAACTGCTGTGTGGAAGTATTTTCAGGCTTTCCACTGACATCATGCTAAGAAAGAGGCAATTGTCTCAAGGCAGATTTAGACTTATCACCAACATGAGAGAATGCCTTGTTTATAATCAGTAAAAATTTTGAATCTATAGGGAGACCAAAAAAAATATTAAGCAAAGACTGAACAAACCTACTTGAGGAAAATCTGTCCACTTTGTTACTAAATACCAGAAAAATTCTGCAGAAGATACTGCATGTGAATGAGTGCTAGAGCAAATAATTCACAATTTGAAATATCTCATTCATTAAGCCTTTGATCCTTCAAATAATAGACAGTATGGTCCAAAAACCTTAACATCAGAAGGGAGACTATAGCTTTCAGAGCAGTGACTATAAACCATTTTTTGTATAAATACTGTTTTGACCAGAGTTCTGGGCCTGAAATTTTCAAAAACAGTGAACAAAAGGTCTCTGTCTCTCAGTTCACAGCAAGTGTGCTGCAAAGTGCACTAGAGAACCAAATGCTGCCAAACAAGCTGTGCACTTCTTTGAGTTTCATTTGGTATAGAATCCAGCATCTACCCCAACTTCTCCCTCCCTGTTATCACTTATTCCACTTTAAAACAGACAGCTTTGAAATATCCTGCAAGAAAAGCTTGAAAGAGAAGACCTGAGTACTATGGTACAGGCCAGCTAACAAATATCACAGTCTAGAGAGCAAAAACCTTAACAGTTTCACTTTGAGGATCTGTGCACACTATCATCCACATAGCCACAGGAGCCTGTCCTGAAAGAGCAACTCAAAAATGCAGAGGGGAAAAAGGAAGAAAAATGACAGTGCTATCATCTTCTGATTAATTTAAATCCCTGAGAGATCCCTGAATTCACTCAGTTACTCAAAGAATATAAGCAAACCTGCAAAGGCAAAGAATACATCCCTCAAAAAATAGAAAGAAAAAAGGATAGGTGAACAAGACATATGAACAAAGACAGGTAACAAGTAGCTCAAAGTGAGATACGCAGGAAGCTTCACATCACAACTTGAGAAACCTAGAGAAGAAAATTACCACAAATTTATGTGGTTTTGTCCATTGCATTTTTCATGGCACATTTAATTTGTTCAGGCGAATTTCTGAATAAGCATTTGCACTCAAATACCCATAAACCACAAAAAAAGGACCTTATTGACTTTTCCTACTCCTCTGTGTGACCCAAGGAATTTTATATTTGCCTCCTTGCCTGGAGTACAGTTCTCTTCTTCACAAAGTCTCTGCCTATATCCAGGTACAACAGCAGGCCTGTTAACAGTGGATTGTGTGACAGCAAGCCTCATACCTATATTATGAATTTACATCTTATTGACTCTGGAAAGAACACCAGTTTAATGTAAGTACTCATCTTCATATATAATCCAGAGACAGTGCTGTGTGGAACTTCAGACTACATAACCCTAATGTTTCCTTTTCATCTTAACATTGACATCGATAAATTATACTTTGCATACTGTATACAACACTATCCAAAAATAAATCTGGGTCATAATAGCTGAGTTAAGTATTAAAGAAATTGTAACAGAAATTAGCAGTCTCTTTTCCAGAAACAATCCCAAGCAGGTAGGCTAAGACTTTCCAACAAAAGAGCATCCCTGCTTTATTTGTACTGCTTGAGTAAATACAAACATTGCTAAAGGACTGTGAAAATGAAAACTCCCACAACCTTACATAAATATCTGCAGCCAAAAAGCGTCTCTATGAATAAAGCTGAAGACTCCACAGATATGTTTTCTACTACATAGGGGTGAATAAAATGCACTAACCTTTTTTCACAAATACACCCTTACCAATGAATGAGTGATAAAGACTTGTCATTGCTAACTCCCAAAACTTCCAACACACAGTACTCTAAGCAACACTGTGGACTCTGTGATTCACTGTCTGATACAAACACGTGGAGGAATTTTTCAATACAAGTGCACTTTAGTGGATAGGTTCAAATACATACCCTATATCTGGGTACCTCACCCAGCCTGCACTTTTGCCATTATTAGTAATATTTTGAAGTATTGTAACTTCAGCAGCATTGTTCTGATGGTTTACAGACATTAAGTGATAAGCCAAGAGTTCACAGTCCCAAGAATCAACAAGAACATCAGGAAATAAAGAGTTGCATAACAGTATTTATAATTTCACCTGCCCCATTTCAGGTCCCTCTCTTTCTGCAACCCTTTTAGCTTAAGGTGTACGTAGACTAGTCATCTTCAGTTGAGTGAACATTTGGCTCTATTCCAACTACACCACGATTTCTTTTAACATGACCCTGATATTTTGAACCCTTTATCCAGTGTCCTAGGAGTGCTCTATTAGTGTCAGTGAGTCTAAGAAAAGTAGTAAAATAGCATTATTCCCATTATACTGCTAGTAAAGAACAATTTAAGCATCTCAAGGCAATAAAGAAGCTTATGGTAGAATTGAGAGAGAACTACAGGAGTTCTGCCTCCTAGTCTGCTGCTGTAATCATCAACTAGTGCAAAACAAAAAAGTTTAGGTGTTACTTTAGACTGACATAGGATGGATTTGTTTTTTTTCTAAATCATCATTTCATCAAAACATCCATTTGCATGAGGATGCAATTATTTTTTAAGTTGTTGTACTCACATGCCAGCAGCTTCCGACAACCTACTTCACCTTTCCAACCATAAGTAAACACCAAACAAGCTGAGGCAGAACCTCAAACACACCCTTAGGAATTACTGGAATACCTGAGGTTACCTAAAGATAAGCATGGCTTCCCTTACAAAAACAATTCTGAAATCCGATCCAGAGGATGCATGTATTTATCTATTATGAAGGACTGGAAAAGAAGCCAAAATTCCTTAGGATGTCTCAAATGAAGGTAAAACTCTGAATCTAAAATGAAGGAAAAACAGGGCAGAAACCTTCTCTAAAAATAGATCTTGCTGCCAGCCAAGTATGCCTGCATGCAATTGTTATTTATTTTTAAATTGGAGTAATTTTCCAGGTAGGTTTTTAGATCAGCTAACAGAATAAGGAGTTTTAAAACTAAACTAAACAAAAGAAACCCCCAAGATTTCTCATTTCTATAAAGATCATATTTGCTATAAAGATGTAAAGGAAACCAGGAAGGAATAAAAATGCAGTCTCTTGCCTGGCATTCCACAAAATCACAAAACTGTGAATTTCAATGAAGGCAAAGAGTAACAATACCAACATGCAGGAAATGTGGTCCTAACTCAACCAGAAAGACTGGAAGAAACTGCCCTAAACATTGAAAGATAATTTGAAATCAAAACCATAACAAACAACAAATGAAAATACACATAAACAATACATGCCCCAAGCTCACAGCCTAATTAAGAGCACAAACTGAAAGAACTCATCAACTCCTTAGTTCTCCAGTGCTTCCTCCATTAAACCTACATCACCTCAAGCCTATTCTTATCAAGTGTTATCACCCCACACGTGGATGGGCGCACTTAAAGATGTCATTAGGGACAATCAAAACAGAAACAAAACTGAACCATGTCAGCAGTTAAGGATTTTCCATTCAGTCCTTCCACACTAGTCCTGCCAGTGAAGAAGGCAACAACCCAAATCTCTTAGGGTACTCCAAGGCAGAAAAGTTATTCACAGCTTGAGCAAGTTCTAGGCTCAGAAAGCCTGAGATCTTAAGT